AAGCCTAGTGTGACCGGTTTCAGCTAAAACGCGTCACAAGAAAGCTGACTCATCCGTAAATAAATGCGTGCGTACGTGCGTGCACACATTTGTGGGGCTTCACTTAAGCAGACGCGCTTTAACTCGCCGCATGACTCATTGACAAGCCAACCAGCCTGGACGTGATCATTGTCATGTTAATGGATTGGTCCCAAAATTTGGAAACTCATTCAACTTACTTTATTAAAAGTGTTTTGGCATTTCCTCTCATGAATATCTGATGCTCTCAGAAAATACACGAATCAAATGATTTTCAGTAGGGTGAGCACGAGCCCATTTTAATTTTACTTTAGGCTTCTTCGTGGTTTAAAAACGAAACCACTGGCTCTCCGACGAGTGCTTAGAACTGACGAAATTGACTCTAGGATGTGACGAACAACTACATTCAGTCTACTTTCATCTATGGTTTAGTTTTCCTACCAAAAACTCGAGACTGGTAGTCAACATCCAGCTCCCTCTATTTCTCAGTGGCTGGATCGACGCATTAGTTTGAAGTCATTTCTCCAAGTTATTTTGAGTGTGCATGCTCCATCATGTCGATCAAGACCTAAATTTATTGGATGACTGGAACTAACCTATACTACGGTTCAGAAAGTGACTTAACTACAGAAGCTCCACCAGGATTTGTTTCTCGCTTATGTGTCCCTTAGCCATCTACAGTGAGGTTTTTCGACTTAATAAGTTATACATTATGAAAATAAATATTGACCCCTTAAATTCTAAAAGTAATGGGAAGACATCCATGTATAATAAAGAAATTTGGCATAAGAGGAATTTGATGATTAGGTGGGAACGTCTGAACCCTACCTGTGTCTAGTAAGAGCCGGGTTCACTTCGGCTAACTTTGGTTATCAAAATGTGGCTGAAATGTATTTAGACGAAATGCACAATTTCCTACCATTTCTTGGTTGTTAATTTCTTTGGAAGTAATTTGTTTTTATATATACGCAAAGTGATTGCCGTCTTTGGTACTGAAGTTTTGCACTCAACATTTTACTAGATTAGTCATTTATTTATCCACAGTCGAACCAAATGCTTTCTTAAAATTAAATTCCTAGATTGACCTTTTCACCATATACTTCTATAAAGGATCTGTAGAGTGGGGTGAAAGCACAGACAGCAACTAGTGATGAAGTACGTTGGACTGGATTAGACAAGTACGGTGTGTTGATATGCAACTAATCGTCTTCATGGTCTTATGAATCGTCCTTCTGTTCGTGGCGTATGTTATGGCCTTCTGACAGCAATAGTTCAAGTTTTTCGCTCGTTAAAGTGTGGTTGTCATTAATTTTTTGTCTAAAGTCTTTTGCCGATTGAATAAAACACTAATGTTGGGGAGTGCACGCGCGACGTTGGAGATTGCGCAGATTGAAGTTCTACTGCAGGTGTAAAACGCCGATGTTGGAACTGAATGGCTTGGGAGCTGATGTGGCAAACTCGACAAAATAAGCTGAAGTAAAAACGATTTTTTGATATTTTGCTTCTGTGCATACGTCTGCACCGTTCACGGTGCCCCGATTCGTGTTTGGATTACTGCACAAAACAGCCTCCTACGAGCTTTCGAAAGTGGAAACTCCTAGGAGCATGGCGGTATGCCTTACAAAAAGGCGGTGATTGTGTTAATGCACCTTCACTTAAACCACCAGGCCAGTCACTACCGTCAGCACGCACTGGAGGCTGAATTGCCATTTAAACGTACGCACACACGTCAACCTAATATTGCGAAATTTTCCCGCCTTTGCCAATCAAAAGCATCCTGACCAGTTAAAGCCAAGCAATTATAGGGCTGGGCGAAAACGCAGCCTTTTGCAACCTGCGCTCCCATCATTCTACTTGGGAAATAGCTTTGGTAAATGTGGTGTTTTATACGATTTTTTGGATGTGTATGCTGACAGCATACGTGCATGGTTATTTCTCGAAGAAATATCTTTCCTAGCGTAAGTTTGAAGCTAGATGTGACAATATTAACACTCACCAAGTAATAGTAAAGATGGTTTGGAGGGGAAAATAATCGTCTGCTATTAAAGGTTATCGAATAGGACAACGAAGTTGGCTAACGACAGCTCAGTTGCTTTTTATCATGAGGTACTATCGTCACGTAGAGTTCTCCTGGGCCTTAAGAGAAATCTATGATTGCTCCCTCAATTTTAATCCCACAGACGTTGGCTGACCTAGACACCCGGGATGCGGGAGGCGAATATTAGCTCTTGGAACGGTCAACTTCCCTGTTGAAGGACTCGTTTATTGCTGGAATTTTGTGAAGTCAACTACTGTGCGCATAATTAACCCATAGATGTCCTTGAATTACAAAGTCATCGCAGCGATATTTACACATATCTGTTAGAGCATTCTCAGTAGGAGCGCCGAGGTAATTCTGTAATGTCAGGCTGATTTAAGTTGGATGCTATCTAGAAAGATGGAAAATGTACAGTTAGAGTGTCTAGTCAAGAGAATGAGTTCCGAAGGGGCGGAACAAAGTAGTGTCCCAACAGTATGGAACAACTGTGTCATCTCTTCGGTACATCTCACATTTATAAAAAAAACGATACACAACTCTTATAGCTCCAAAGCAAGACACGAGGGACGTGACGAGTCTGCTTTCAGACTTGCAGCAAAGATAGAGCGTTGCAGGCCGGTTCGTTAGCATGGGTGATTTTGACCAATCACCTCCAAGTAGCTGCAAACCTTTTCCAAAAGGGTGCTATACCTGGCACAAACGTAACGAACATCAGACGACTTACTGTGACATATTCTGTTTTTTAGTGTCTTCTGCAACGGCTGCATGTAGTTTTTCTTCAGATGAGAGCATAAGGCCTTCACACTAGAGAGGAAGCTAACGCACTATGGGAGCTTTACGTCATGGGAATAGAGAGCCCCAAAATACAAAAGCAGAATAGAAAGTTCAATCTATTCTCTGATCACTGGCGTCCAGTTTAGCAGTTGGTTGTTATCAGTATGGGTTAACGACTAATAATTTGGAAAGACAATCAAAGCAATGTAAAAAAAATTGAGACGGACGACCAGACTTCCAGCTTGCCACCATCGTAAACAGCAAACATTTAAAACAGATTCAATATAAAAACCAGAATGACACGTCGAACCCGTAAAGCAAAGACGAATCGGAACGATCGAAAACACATACGTAAATCCGCTTTGTGTATTTTAACAGCATTCGGCAAGATTATCGCTAATTCAGTAAGCAAATTGAAAGCAGCGATAAGGAAGAATAAGAATTAAAACAACGGATCAATGAAGCATGACATGTAAATGTTACAACCCTCCTCTCAATACGTTGGCGTTCTAACTTGAACCAGCGTCCTTCACAGGCATACATGGTGATTTCGTTTACCAAATCTGAAGAGAACAGTGTTTAAATCTGTTAATGTCCACAAATATGAAAGACCTGAATGCATTTAAACGAATCTCACATAGTTGACATGTAAACTATTAGATAAAGAAAAGCAAATGTTGGAAGTTGGGAAATTACTAAGAGCACAAGAAGAGGATAAGCAAAGCATCGATTAAATATGATTTTACTATGTTATGGGATAAGGAAGACTCGACGTTTCTGTGGAGGTTATTTTTAATGTGAAAATGAATGTTGCCGACTATTGTTAACCTACCTACCCGCGAAATTATTAAGCAGCTCCCGGGCAATGTACAGAAATCTAGCCTTCGGGATATATTTTAAGTAAGTATATTTTAAATAAAAAATGTATTCAGCAGCTAAAATGCTCTATTTCAATGCACACCAAGTTGTTGGCGACAAATAATTCGAGGTGAAACGGGACATTTTAGAAACAGAATGAATGTTAAATGGGTCGCGCTGATTATTATGAGGAAAAGCACGATTTTTAGCTCCATTTAATTGAACAGACGGGTATTAATATTCTCCAGTTACTAAATAGCTGTACTGTATAAGTTTTTTTGTAAACCACCTGACTGTCCGTCGTACCCGACGAGCCGCTGAATGGGTGTTTAATTTAAGTACTTACAAGGTAGGAAAGAACTTGAGCTTTACATTTTTTAATATCTTTTGATACACACTATTTTCTTTTCTTTGACAGACGTTAGTCTGAAAACAGTTTCGCATAAACAGCAATCTGCACCGAATTGTAGTTGGAAATCGATCACTCTTAAAGATTCAGGGCCAAAACATCCCCCTTTCATGTTTGGGTCAACGTAATAGCAATCAAAAGGTTTTAAATGCATTCAAAAAGTGCATTCCCAAGTCTAGTTATGTTTCTTTCCAAGTGGATTATGAACGAAGTAGATGCAGCCACTAGTGAAAAGACTGTTGGCTCGTTTCATAACAACAGACGCAGCTTCAACCAGACATTACCCAAGATATGAACATGAAAGTGAAGAGTTTAATTTAGAGTCATCCCCCATATTCCTTGGTCAAATCTTACAGTAATTGCCAAAATTTCATTTATGTGTCACCTGAAAATCTACCAACCCATTTGTCGACTTGCAGTTGTACATTTTGTTGAGCGTGTTTACACAACTTATATGTTAGCTTGTTGCGAGGACCGTAAGGTCACACCTATAGGCATTACTGGGAGACGATTACCTAATAAACATTTTTTTATTCACACCTTGTAGTAACCCAGACTAATGCAAGTTCAAACCACTCCCGTGCATGCTAACCACATACGATGCTCCTCCTTACTTTCCCGCTCAGTTTTGCTCCTGTGAGAGGCAACTCAGTCGCGCTGTGGGTTTGAGCTGCACATCGAAGCTTACACAAACTCTATTGTTATCGCCCACTTTAAATTACAGATAAGTGCCATAAGCCCAGATTTGGCACTGCTTTCGCGTGAAAAACCATTGATCCAGGTTGTTATAAGTCTCCAGAAATAGGACAAAAATGAAGCCAAAATCGCAAAACTTCCCCGCGTGATTATGTAAAAACGGATTGCCTTTGCTTCAATGTATTTTGGTGGCGGAGGTATTAGCCACTACGTTCTCACCCTAACCGCAATAACGAGCTCGTTGTATTCTTCCAAAAGCTTCTGCAACTTCCTCCGACGATCACGTGCTGCCTTGTACCAGGCTGTCAACGCGGACTCACCTACAATGTCAGTGTAAAATTTATTCATTTGCGAAACCTGAGACACACAAAGCCGAATGGACCCTCTGAAGATGGATTACCCTTTTAGCAGCAGTCGTACTTTGAAATGACTGTAAATTTCATAAAAGTTGATTATTATGTCCTAAGAAAACTCCTGAATAGGCTCTTAACGTTACTTGCGTCCGTTTAAATTTTGAGAAATTATGGACGTCAAATAAATGATGCTAAGTTGTCTGGTTCCCACTGCGCCTGCGTGATACCATCAGTAACCTTTTTCAGAATGTGAATGTCTTACGCACGCCGCACTTTTTCAGAAGTGCTTTTTCTGAAAAGGATGCTGCATAACTTAGCAGAAACGAGCAAAACCTCTTTCGTCTTTGTGATATAGGCGTCAATTGATTTCGTCTCTTGTTATAACCTAACCATCCCTTTAAATTTACCTTACCACCAAATTGTTTACTAGTTTTATCCCAAATACCCATATATCCTAGACAAAGAAGGCTGAAAATTTAAAAGCATTCATATTTTTAAGTACCATAAGAAATCAATAATGAGTAAGGGAACACGAAGACCTCGATCTATTGTCAGTTCTTGGTGACGCCATCGGAAAATGATGACTGTATCATTTTAGCGAATAAGCTAAATTCAATTAATGTGCATACGCATTCTCATTTTGACCTATATTTTATTTGTCAACATCCTTATAACCTTGCTAGCGCATATTTTTTTGAGGTTTTGAATATTCATCACAGCTGTTTACCATACCCTTCACTTTAAAAAGTCCAAAAGGAGGAATTTAATTGAAGTCTACGAGCCAGAAGAATTATTAGCTATAATACATTGAAATATGAAAGGCGAATCTGATCATTTTATCTAAGATAGTAATGTTAATTGTAACTGCGCACAAAGCCACACTGGTAGACAAATCATGCCTATATTAACAATGATAGCGAACACACGGTAAAATCTTGACCAAAAGGTAACGTGACTGGCCACATGTTTGCGTGGGAAAGCGGACAAATAAAATGATGTTTTCTCACAAACCCTGGATTTACCACAATTTGTGGGTGCTCGCTATGTCCTCTGCTCTGCGAGGTGCTTTAATCCGCATTAGTTGGCCATGGGTTTAAGAGGGGATCAAACAGGGCACTAATGTTTCCTGACTTGCTTACTGCTGAATGACAAAGCGATCGGAGCAAGAGCTCTGCTTTTTTCATTTCTGTGCATTCAAAGGGAATGCATTCTTCAAAGTAGTCCCAATTTATCCAGATGACGTGAATTTGTCAGCGCACTGAATTTTGGTTTTCTCAGAGGGATTTTACATTGAAAACTAGGAGAAATTGTCACCTGAAAACTAACTGTTCATGTGTCTTCATGCAGTTGTATATTGTGTTGAGCGTTTTGCCAGACTTACGTGCTGACAAGCTGCGAGAGTGGCAAAGTCACACCTACAGGGACTGTCGAGAGACAATTGTCGGGTCAACGGACTTTTATTGATACCATTTTTATTTACGTGATAAGAAAAATGAATTCACTCTGATTACCTACTCAACGAAAAATGCTTTTTTCACAGACGTCGCGTTTCCGCCCGCTGTTGCATTGTATTTTTTTATTTTTTATTTTGGTAGTGGGTTTCTTGACCTATTTGGATAACTTGGGGTCAACAGTGGTCAGTGTCAGTTCTAAGAAGTCAGCGATGCATGCTAAAGAGGCCTGAGGAAATCGTTCGGAGTTAAACTGTGCGAATACCTCTAAAACTGTCACCTCTCGGGACTGGCGAATTTACTTAATTCGATCATCTCCCAACCAAACGGCTTTAGATATCAATTCTCAGGAACACTACACCTGCGGTCTTGATGGATGGCATTTCAAGTTATTTCCTGCAACAGTAAGCTTCATTACAATCTTCTATTAGGTATACGAGCGCCATCTCAAAGAAGGATCCACTGATAAATGCAATCAGACTTATAGAAGTCCTAGTAGAAACGGAATCTTCTTAACCTATAGGTCCAGGAACAAAAGTGACTACTACGCTAAATTACGCTTTTCTGCTAATTTAAGTACTTACTCCTTAAAAATACCGAATAGTAATTCGCTAGTGCATCTACAGTAATGCCTCTTTCCCATTGATAGGCGCAGGGATTGTTATATGTAGATTTGATCAGCGTTAAATTTATTTAACGTGTGATTCCAACTTTCAGCGTGCCACTATAATCAAAACCAAGAAATAAATGCATTTTGATATTTCAACTTTGCAATCAGATAGCATAGAATTATCTTCATGGAAATACCATTGCACAAACAATTTGGAGTTAATTTTGGCCTACCAAGGTAAACTACGAAGATCACTAGTAAAGATTGCTCGTTTCCAGATACCTGAGTGGGATAGAAAAAAATCTGCTGAAATAAAAAGGACCTTTCGCTACAATGGAATTGTGTAATCCTGATTACTTTTCATCAGTTATAAGCAGGAATCGGTCAAAAATGCTTCCTTTTGGGGAACAGGTGCTCTTGAAATACGAAATATTTGGCCTTTGGAACTAAATCAAGATGAAAAAAGTCGGTTTATTATTTTAACATCTTGGCATACCGTTCATTTCTAGAACGTGACCCAATAGCAACGGTTATATAAAAAAACTGATTTGGTATTTATCTAGGTAAATGATCATAAATGACGCCATGAATTTATAACAGGAATATAATACCAGAAAGAACATTACTATGCTAAAACTGGCCATCATTCATAATTTCTAAGAAGATTACTCTGCTGTGTTAAGTTTGTTAGCGTAGAATACTCGGAGAGCATTTTTAACGTGGTGGAATTTACTGTTTCGTAGATTATACTCGGCCAAGTTCATTGTACGTTTTGGACATTTCTAAAACCTCATTAGATATTGCTATACACCAAACAAAAATTCTATGATTTTAAGCAAAATTCAGTTAAAATATCTCGAACCACCTCTATTTATATCGTCTTAAGTAAAAGTAAAGCTGTGTTGAGTAACACACCCTTTTTCTGCATTCATTCACATTAGCCCAAATGATTTTTTGAAGACGATGACGCGACCTTTTAAGCCCTCTCATCTGGAATTCTACAACCCCTCCGTTTCACGATAGCAAAATCTCATAGCTTATTTTACTCTGGTGTTTGAATCCGACTCCATACGAATGCTCTTTTTGAATTAGAAGAAAAAGACATTGGAGCCGTGAGGAAAGGTATAAATGGCATTCCGGAAAAAGTCGTGTAAAAAACAGAACTTACACCTCTTAATGAGTCAGCTGAGACTTTATTGTGCTGTAAAGTGAGGTTGTGGAATATTCTCCATCGTATATGTGGTCACAGCCCTCCCTTAATCTCCCAAAAAGTCTAATCGCTATGCTACGTAGTGGGTCAATGTTATTCCATTGTTTTTCAGCGAACTTACGAGTTTGGCTTAAAGTTCCTTTGAAATTAATCCTGTCATGTAGGGAATGAAAATGCGTTCCAATTGCCAGAGTCATGTTTGCAAACTTACGGATATTGCGGTCCTCAGAATCAGGTTGCATTGCATCAGAGGTTGCCGTAGGCGCTGTATTGACGTCCAAGTTCTCCCAAGAATCCAGCAATTCCTGTTTTTGACCAAACTCATTTTCGAGAACAATTTTAACTTTTGAAGAGAAATTCTGGAACCCCGAACCCATTAAAGGCTCTATGATAGTAGAATGAGGATTCAGGTCTAGAAAACCCATATTTATAATAAGGAATTTATTTTCATTTCAGAATTAGTAAACCTTACAAATTCGAAATTTTTTTAAACCAATCCTTTAATTAACTTAAAAACAAGTAGTTTAAATTTTGACGCCTTGATTCTACGGACAATCTTTGACCCAATGCGTACTTAAACGCAATGAGGACTAGAAGCAGCAGGTGGCATTACTTACGCACTGTTCTTATAACCTTAAAAGAGCGCACGCTAATTCAAAGTGCTGGAAAGAAACTGTGTCTGCGAGTCAAATGAACTCATTCAACGTTCACTTGCCTTAAGCATTCAAGCCACTCTGAGATTTGCAAGTTAAACTAGATACCACTTCTATGTACAGAAACAATGCTTAAACAACCAGAGAATGACTCTACCTATGTTTATGTGTTTTGGACTAGTTGGTCTTTCGTTCAAGTTGTTAGGCTTTGTGAACTGTCATTTAGAAGACACCCATGCAATAATGCAGGATTTGGGCCACAATAAAGCAGAATTTGCGATGACTAAGATAAGTCGATAAAACTCGAAACAAAAAACTAGATTCCTATTTTATGCCACGCAGCTTTGGGGTGATTTGGTCAGAAAGAGAAGAATGATGCTTAAATCAGGTCAGATACAGGTAATCAAATCAAATTCATTGGGCGATCATAAACGAAGAAAGCAGTTTACATAAAAAAGACCACCTGGTAAAGCTAATACATCGAGGACGGCCATGAGATGATAAAAAACAATTAGCTTTTAGAAAATTTTAGAATGGGCATTAGTGTATGTTAATGGGTTAAAGTCTGCACATCACAAAAGTCAGGCAAATTGCGATTTTAGTTTGCCTAACATCAAAAATAGACATCGAAGTCTTTGTTGTGACGATTTAATTATGAATTGTCACGTTGTCACAGAACAAACCCTTGAAAGATCTGATTGTGACATGGTCTTAGTCTAAACTTGAATATCGCGCTTTACTTTGTTGTCTCAGCACTGCGACGTGACAAAACAGTCCCGATTATGTGTATGCAGGTTGATGTGCGAACAGTTATGACGTTTTCTGAGGCGTAGGTAAATATCCACGTCAGTGGTAGATTAGATTCTGTCTAATAATTAGCGAAGTCTTGCTCCATTAGCACGTAGGAAGTTTAAAGCTATTGATTTCAACGTCAGTGAAACAGAAAATCAACTAAACTGGTTTCAACAAAAAATCTCGACAACCCAATCGCCATGGCGAATACAGGCTTTGAGCGTAGAGGAAACTGGTGAAAAATCTACCAGGTTTGTATTATTAGAACAGGGTGCGAGATCATGTTTATTTTATTCTCGTGAAAGTCACTTATTTTTTTTGATTATCTCCTTAGGGTATAAAGGGTAAGACTATAGAATATACTGACAATTAATCGTGATGAGGTTTAACAAGGAAGGTCTATGAAACGTCCATGTTAACAAAAACAGAATCAATAACATTTAAAATGTCACGATGCAGCACAAAAGGTGATTTAACGGTGAAGGTCTTACATTAGGATATATTATGGCTTTACTTTATATCTGAGATGGGTAGTCAGGCTACAGAAAATGTTAATTCAGAGCAGCTACTAATAAAATCTGCTCACTTTGAATTAAAAATTCACAGTCTGCGATTATCCAAACAAGCCTGAGGCGTTGTAACTGGTATCGCCACCCTTTAGGGCAGATATTCTACAACGACTTTGAACCTGAAACACTTAAAATGTCTCCACTTATGTTATTGGCGTAATTATCGGCCTACATTTTCTCAATGCAGTCCCGAAATGTCATTTCTGACTACTAACTAAAACAATCTTTTAAATTTGCATTAGGTATCACAGTCTGTCACATAAATCGCAAATGCTCAGAGGATGTTCACTTATACAGTGGCCAAATTTGGCCTCAGATACAAACACACAACAAAATGAGGTGCACAAATGTTTATGTTGGACAAGGGTTCTTTACCTGTTCAGAAATAAAGAAAAATTATGCCAGGGAAAACAAAACTACTGGACCAAATGGAATTTCTATTCGATGAAGATCCAGCAGCAGGTGGTTTTAGCGTAAACCACGTAGGCTTAACGCGATAAAATAGCAAGTGGCGATGCTATCACCTAAGAGAGAATATTAGTCCCAGTTAAATCTGACACCAAGTACCGCCTCGGCAGGCGCTTGAGGCAACTGCCTCTAGTTTCCGTGCCTTTCGCTAGGCAATACTTCTTCCTGAAAAGCAGTCCGAATTAGATCAAAGCTAACATTCATGCATTTCCGTCATTGGCTACAAGATGTACTCCTCATTTTCCTGGAGGTATTTCATTGTTTTCACTCTGACCCCTTTTATCAGATCAACATCAGTCCCCCAATTTGTAGTAGCGATATGCCTTCGCGATCGGTGGAACCACCAGAAGAATAAAAGGTCTAAAGACAACAGGGAAGCCATCGCCTTGTCCAGCAATTTGCCAATGTTTCACTTTATTTGTGAAGCAAGCATGGTGTGTACGAAAAGATGTAGGGGTGATGCGAAATGACCCGCAACAAAAGTGCAAGTGAATGCGAGTCTGGGTTAAGAGCAGTTTAATGTGAGTCTAGTTCGGAGAATATTGTGCCGTGTGAGTGATGGATTATCTGGGCGAAATGGACAGATGCACACAGACAACTTTTATGCTCTCTCCAGTCAAGTTCACACTTCCTGCTAAAGGATTTGCTGATTGCAGGTCTTACGCATCTTCTAATTTGTAATGTTCATGGTGGTTTTTGCGCTATTGGTAGCTGCCTTTTTCGACCAGCGGCCTTAACCGCATACATTCACAGTGACTGCGGGACATTGTGGGAGGCGCTTTTCAAGCAAAGTAGTGGAGAATTAGTGAGATAACCTGGGAGTGCAAAGCCATGCACGAGGTGGTTGAGTCGCGGTAGGTGTATCCAAAGCCAAATAAATAACCAAGTCAGCGAACGGTATTCGATGCATGAGATGCTATCAAACAAACAAGCTGCAAGGCAAATCATGCAAGGGTGGAGAGTGGTGGGTTTGTCGTGGGTCACTGGGATGTCTGTATTGTACCGGAGTCGGTGAGGCTGGAATGCCAGTGGTAGACTGACAAGATGCAGTAATTCATGAGTATACCTATGAGTGGTCAATGTCTGAGACAATGCACAACCAGTCCGAATGAGTGTGGCCCGGGGTGGTATGTGTCAACATGGGGGCCGAGGCCTTAACACAGTGCTGTTTGAACTAGATAAGAGGTTCCTTTCGTAGAAAGTACTACAGATGGTAGACTTGACTTAGGTTCATTTGTGCGGGCCAGGTAATTCCGACAAAAGGTGGTTCGTTCCAGAGTACTTTTCACCGACCAAGATTTGCGTGCTTTGCACCTCAGCATTGGCAGTGAGAGCATATTCAAAGCTCCAGCATCCCGGTAACCGAAATCTTATTTTATGTGTTTCAAACCACTCATTTTTGCACCTGAGTTACTACTACGGTTATCGTTTCACCTATGCTGTATAAGTAGTGTCGTCATGGTAAATCAATTAACACGTTTCTCAATTTAGCTCAAGTTGCACAATGAGAGGAAAACGAAGTGCTGATATGCTATTTCGCTAGGTCCAAATCACCAGCCCCCCAAATAGAACGGGGTTACATTGACAAGAGTAGAGAGGTCAGGTTATGATGCCTTTAGGTGGTACCATCCAACAGAAACCGTTGAGAGAAGGCCATCTTTTCATTGACACATAACTGCTGCCAGAATCAATAATAAAAATCTGTATAAACAAGATGGGGAAATATGCAGGACAATCGTTCCTAGATAACAAACTCCTCAGCGAGCAACGCAAACGCATATTGCAAAATGCTTTGAACTTCTAAAGGAATTTTCCTTAGCTCTTAACGAAATTTCTGTCACCACCCTTTTTGCTAAAATGAAGTTGGAAAGCCTACTGGTGCAGATTTGGATGAAAAACATCGTAAACAGGAAACCACGGAGAAAGTCCAGGGGAACTTACATTACTGACCCTGATTAACGTGAAACTGTTGAACCGGAAGCATGCCCCGCTCAGCACGCAGTCACAGAGCTCGTTTGCACGCACATACTTTTCGTAATGAATGCGCAAACGTGGACGCTGTCCAAAGGCCCATTTCCATTGGTTAGGTGGCTCATTGTGGTGCTGGAGGGACTAGGGCAGTTCTCATGGTGATATTATGTGGGTTAACAAAAAGTAAAACATCCAAAAATTGTTATCTTGAATATAGCTTCTTTAGTGACTCGCTGAATGTGCCACTTAAAACCGATCGGCCTTTCTGGTCTTGTTCAACTTGCATCGCATACTAGAAATGGTTTAAAGTATATTGCAACACCGATTCAAATTTACAATTCTGTTCATACATTGATTGGCTTTATTAGTGTGTGCTCACCTTTTTTAGCCTTTAACGTGGTACATTATAATATTCATTTAATTAGATTTAAGCTTGTATTGACTAGGCAAAAATCGACTAAAAATCAGTCCATACCTATGTTATGAGGTGGAATCCTTGATCGTCTCTAAGAATAAAAATTTAACTCACACACCAATTTTACTTGGTATTCAAATTGTGATGATTTACCCCGGTTCCAAAGTGCATAACTAATGGAATAGTTTCGACCATAGTTTTAGTTAATAAAAAGGTAAGCTGTAAGTCGAATTTTAAATAGATTTAAAATGATCAATTTCGTTGACATACCGGTACCTAAATCAGGAAGCCCATGTTTCTGGAACAAGTAGAAAAAAAAAAGAAAAAGAAAAGGTTCACATTTTGGTGATACAAGCCCCTAGGTCCCACCAGGTTAGCATTACAAATAAAGAAATCTATGAGTTAAAGCATTGATTTTGATATAAAAGGTTTCTAAGTTCACGGCTGGGCTTTCATCTGTTACATAGCTTAAAGAGGTGGGATAATTGGTTGATAATGGCTGCCCAAGCTTACGAATAAGTTTAGTGGATTTTCATCCCATGATAATCACGTCTCCGTGACATCCACGGCCCGCCGAGCATAATCGTATTGTTTTGAATCGTGTTTAGTCAACCCCCTAATCCGATCGCTCCGCCTCGGACACAGGGTTCCCCTTTTTCGCAGCATGGTGCCAGCCGCGCAAATCCTGAACTCCCCCTTCATTTGCACGAATATGAATCTTGGATTATGCATCCGCCTAGGTCTCGATGTTAGCGCATGTATGACTCACACATCCGAGGTATGTGTACACACGCGCAAACCCCACACACGACACAATGGCACCAGTTTTGGTTGATCTCTGAAGTAAACGATTGTGTCCCGTCCTCTCTGTTCTTTTCTTCATCGCGGGTATCAGGCAAGCGTAATCGGGCCAGGGTTAATTCCGTGGCTCCGGCATGGTTCAAGACCACATGCTGGGGCCCACAACCGTATGCCGTCGCTTAGAGGAGGCTGGCTTAAAAACACGCGAGAAGTGTTATCAGATAAATAACCGCCCTGGAATGACATGGGGTTTGTGTTTTGACAAGGACTGTTGCAAAAACTATCGGGAGCCGTTTATTTCCAGCCTTAAATTAGCCCTCATCGCTGGGTTTTTCATTACAAAAATCTACCAAGGAAGTATCTTGTTGAGTCTACACAAGCAAAGCAATTAGTTGTGATAGGTCATTAGTCTGGAATACGTAAATCAGATGTAGAAAATCTACGTTCTCCAAAAAGTCCGCATTTCTGAGTAAACTCTGGTTTTCAGATAAGGTAACTCGAGGCCTTTGCTTGAGCAAGCGAATCAATGATTCGTGAACAGATTTAGCTAACACTGCGTCTTACTTGTTTTACTTTTGGCTGAAAATCAAAACATTGTTTACAAGTTCAGAAATCAGTCACTTACTTGCTACTTTGATCTACAACCATCAAACTTGTTGGCAGTTTATGCATTTCTCCATTTAACCATTTCATGTAATCAGCAAAACTTACCCGAATAGAAGAATTGACATAGGCTACTTTTAGATAATGGAAGGAGTCCTGCAAAACACTACGCCTAAAGAACAAATTAAGGACCATATAGTGAAAATAATAAAGAAACAATTAAAATGCGGCTTGATGTTCTAGCGATGGAATAATTGGCGACCCACAGTTACTTCGTCTTGATTAATCATTCCAGTTTATCTAATTAGTTGTGAGGCTTAGTGGCCATGATGCACCTTCTGCTGTAATAATTTGTCATGAGAATATTTATAATTGTTTTTATCCAACATTTATCCAAAGCAAAATTTTCATCGAAAAAATGCTAAACAGGGAATTAAGCAATGTAGTGCAATTTTTAAAATCTTTCTAAAATTCAGTAACTTAGTAGTTTCGAATTATGTTTCAGTGCAATGTTTAAGATAATGTAACACTTATCTTTAAAAGTTCTGTTAAAATTTCAGCGCACATTAACGGATGTTCTATACCATAATTTCAGAAATTGTGATGGAATAAGAGACTGTGAGACTGAGGCTGAATTAAATTATTAGGCGGTTTTGTCTACCATGAAACAACAATTGAAAACTTAGCATCTGTTAAAGTTTAGTAGACCATAAGGTATCATTTTGGAGAAACATTATTGTGTTGTGAGTGCAAATTCAAGGATCACAAAAATAACCCCGAACAAAAGATCATAACTAAAAGAAAGTGCCTGCGAAATTCAGCTAAAACGGTGCTTGCATTCAAGAGTTGATGGAGGTATATGGTTTTGACGGCTGCTAGGAATGATAAGCCACAAAAATTTGGGATGTACTGTTGAAGCCATAAAACTTCCGGATTCGACGGAACTAATTATTTGCACGTCAGCGTTGGCATTTCAAAACGATGTGCCTTTATAATTTGAAAAACTCAGATGTCGAGTAAAGCTGGAACATGTTCAGAACACTTCAATAGTGCATTTAAAGCGTACCGTTTAGAATTTATCTTCTGATTCTCCGTAGTGCAAACTATCTGATTCACTATAATAATAATATAATACACACCGAGACCTTCCAAAAAATTGTACAGAATCTAGACTAGTATGGCAAAACGAGGGAACTCCAAGATTGTAAAAGATCGCATTGACAAATGTTATTAATTCACCTGAGAATTCACCACCAAAAAAACTTAACAAATAATCTCCCAATAATTTTGACACAGAGAAGGAAATACATTTTGATTCTTTCTTATAGGGTGGTACCTAAAATCAAACGGGTGCTAACCAGGGGTCAGATATTCCCAAAACAACGAGAATCTGACTACCTGCCTATCAAAGTCACCAGGGAGAGCTGGCTTTTCCATCAAAATTTGGAATCAAATAGCTTTTTTTAATCGGTGGAATAGATGCAAATAGTCAAATTATAGCAGTGTATGCAAGTAACATAAAATATTAAATGTAGTCAAAATAGGAAAAAATTCTGGAAATCATTTTTCGAATTTTACTTTTAATTTTTTCGCAAATTGAAGTCATTTAGTCCTTGCAATCTCACCTTAGTTTACCGTTGGTCATTTGATTTTGTTTTTTGTTTAGTTTAAACCAATCAGCTGGTTTAATTCAGTCATAACGGTGTTCTCATGAGTTTGCACTCTTCTTTCGCAAAAACTCTGAATGAAGTGAAAAATCAGGATGGTTCACTGTGCAAGGCTTTGAACCACTCTCAAACTATAAATGCAAATCCTGCTTCATTACTTTTGGGGGTTAGCTTTTCTAGCAAAACCCCAAAGAGGTAACAAGTATAGTTGTGCCTTTACATTTCATTAATAGGCCTAACAGTAGTGGGAGGCATCCTTGCCCCGATGGTCGGGAAAACACGAGTCTCCTAAACACATCAAAAGGCAGAAAACTGCCACTGAGTTGTTTCCAACGCCCAGCTCCCGCCGAATCAGATGCTGACAGGTAATTCCTATCACAAATATCAACTTCATAGGTACGTCCCAAACCGACAAGCAATGGACATGGAAAGAGCCCAATTCGTTCTAACTCAGTCTTCATTGGCATCTGAATCCGCCGTTGAGTCTAATGCCGGTGAAAGTAGATCTGGTGACAGGATTCTTGAGTATATGCTCAAACGTCCAACCATTCCTGCACATGAACCGCTAGAAACAAAGGCCAACAGCCGCCAGCAGTCATTACGATTTATACCATCAGTAAGGATTTTACATGCAATTATCTAAAAGATTCGTGTTTGCCATTAGCAATTTTTTGCTTTTAAGCAAACGCATTGGTACTGAAGATAATGGTCATGATTTCGGTAAAAACGTCTGTTGACAGCGTCTTTGGCTATTTTTTAAAATAAAGAACCGGGTACCATTCTCCTGTACTTTTGAAGTAGGGACTCCGATAGTATTGTTAGTCAGTATCGGAACACCTGAGAATTTTCATACTACCGACAGATGGGTCATTTTGAAGTACCTGATGTACCAAGTTTATGTGAAATGTTGCAGTAACTTCCTATTGTTGAAGCAGTCACAAAGCTTGTGGATGCTTCACTAAGTTTTCGAAGCATTTTCAAAACAACGGGATTGTTTTAAACTGAAATTGTCGGTTTTATGATTGCCTATGGTCGATTACCTTGCGATTACATTCTCGTTGTGCTCATGACAACCTAAATTTTCCTGTCAGAAACTGCCAGTGGTCTGTTGTGTAGGTGGTTAAAGTCGATGTTCTTGTTTAAGTTATGGAAAATCGGTATATTTAAACCTGGATTCGGTGTTGCTCTAAATGCTTCATGTCATGCTGCTCATATGTAGGTCCGTAAAATAAAGGTGATATGTGTGTGTTGGCAATGCTAACTTCATTTGTTGTGATTGTTTTTAGCCTCTTGTTTATCGTTATTATCTTATTTGTTTGGATGCTGCTGCTAATATCAGTGAGATTACAAATGTGACTTATTTTGGGCATAATAACTTTGCACGCAGTACCTCTTGTTATGGCTACCAATCCCTCACAGGGGCCATAGAATATGTGCGTCTGGTTTGTGTTCTAGGTAACTAAGTGTTTGCCTGCTACTTTGAAAAAACGGGTATTTTTAACATTACGGTAGTCCATGAGTGTTTATTGCAGAGGTGAACTTAGTAGTTTTGGCACAGGGCTACTTGATAAATATTTCTCATTTTAGAAACCAGAAAAGGTTCTCGATGCACCTGAACTCATCAACGACTACTACCTAAACTTAATGGATTGGTCCATCCATTCTGACATTGCCGTTGCCCTTGATCGGGAGGTCTACTTATGGAACGCCCTCTCAGGGAACATCAAACTGCTCATGTCGGCTGGTTTAGACGAGGAATACATCACGAGTCTGCGCTTTTCCCCACAGGACGCTAATATTCTCGCCATTGGAACCAACTTTGGCCGTATTCAACTTTGGAATGTTAACGAAGGTTCCCTGCAGAGAACGATGCTTACTGGTGATGGCGCTCCGGCCAGGATCCCTGCCCTAGCCTGGAGGGATCATCTCGTCACGTCAGCATCACGCACTGGGGAAATTCGACAACATGACATTCGGATAGCGAGGCACGAAGTGGGATATTGCAACACACATACACAAGTAGGTTGAACACAGCTTTAATGCGTTTTCTACTTACAACGCAAAGCAACATCTAGTGGTTGTCTACATGAAGTATTCATTTTCAGCCCATATCCTCGAATATAGAAACATTTCAGGGAAATTCTGGATCCGTAGCGAAAATAATTTTAATTAAAAATAGCTTCCATGGAGTAAATTTGAAAATCTCTTGACTTTAAAAATAAATTAAATTCCCACGAGTAAATATCAGAATGTACTCGTAGCTCGAATTGGAGTTTGACGATCGTTCAATAGATTAGGTGAGTAGGTTCTAACCGATATTCAGTGATTGCTATTGAACTCTTCTCTTAGCAATTATTGTTTTGTCTTTTGTCCGTTGTTTATATCTTTACACTAGTAACCGAAGGTCATTAGGAGTTTTGACTTTACTAAGTTAAAAGCGATGGGCCAACTCATATATTAAGAATTATTATCATTAAGAATTTTTTGGTCTAAATAACTTAATTGCGCAGAATAATTATGCCATCCATAGACAAAGTTTAATTTATAGAATTAAATTCGATGAAATAATTTATGTTTTTTTGCAGGAGGTCTGTGGTCTTGAGTGGTCACCTGATAGTCGGTATTTGGCCTCTGGTGGTAACGACAATCTCGTTTGTGTCTTCTCTGCAAACGAAGTAACAAAACTGTCGGGAGTGCGACCAGAACACATGTTCAACGACCACTTGGCGGCAGTTAAGGCCATCGCCTGGTGTCCTTGGAAACCGAGCCTTCTTTCCACAGGTGGTGGGACGGCAGATCACCATCTTCGTTTTTGGAATGTCTGCAGCGGTTCCTCTGTGCGCGCTGTTGACGTCGAAACTCAGGTAAGACGTCTTCCCAAACTGATCCGTTCTCATGGCCTCGCAGTATAATATAGTCGGCCCCCGAACGTCGTTAATTGTTATGCATTTGGTATTGTCTAAACACCAGCATCTGAATTAGATTATGTCCCGAGTGTTATTTTGTTTACAGATGGTTCCATCCGTTTTGCCTCATCATTCATATGTGATGCAAGATCCTGTGTATCGGCAATCAATGCTGTTGACCTCTTTATTTTGGCCCTTAGTTTCCGGTATTCAGTTGCGAAATAGAATCTGTGGCTCTCCATTAGACCAGAACATTGATTGGTCATGTATTATTTGCCTAAGTTGGCCACGTTCATAACCACGAATTGACGTTTCATCGCCATCAGTCTTTGCATTCTGGCTCCAAACGTTACTTTCCAATGACTTAAGGTTTACCCTTAACGGTTTATCAAAACAAATCTGCAAATATATGGCTGCCTTGTGAATAAGGTCCACATTTTGAGCAAATTTAAAGCCTGGTTGCCTCAGTCACGCATAAGCCCTGTTTTTCGACCATACTTCCTCATTCTGCTATGAAAATAAATAGGACACTTTCAAAGTCAAATCGCTGCCTCCAGGATCCAAATTAATCTGCTTGGGTTAATTTTCTAGGTCTCTGGAATTATTTGGAATCAAGAATATCGCGAATTGATAACCAGTCACGGCAATGGTAGTCTTTGCATTTGGAAATATCCGAGTATCCAAAAGGTCAAAAACCTCGCCGGTGAGTATTTATCCATTGTCACTTTTTAAGTTCACTCTGTGTTTTTGAAGATATTTACGCTTGTACAGGCTCCCCACAATTATTCTATTTCTAAATGAAGAATCGTGGTGTCATGTGCTATATTTTTCGGGATATTCGATCATTTTCTGATTGGCGAGTGCTGGCAAATGCATGGACCAGTGGAAAGCCGATTACGTCTGGCTTAGATAGGCTCTGAACTGGATCGCAGCTTTCTAAAACTTTCTTGATTAAAAATGGATGCTGTAGTGAAATTTAGGCATAAACGTATGCTCTGTATTGACTATCAAACACTTGAATACCCTAGAGGTCGATATTCCCCAGTGCTTCAAGTAACACTTTGAATACTTGTTGACTTCGCGCTAAACGTCTTGAATGGTTAGACGTTTTTCCGATGTGTTTTTTGCATATCAGCCACCATCCCACGAGTTGCGCTACTCTACCTTCACGCGTTATCGGGAGCCCCTTAACAGTATTTATATTCTCTAGAACACCAGGACCGGGTGCTATCAATCGTTGCTTCTCCCGATCGTGAGATGGTGGCGAGTTGTTCAGCCGACGAGACCATACGGATCTGGCACTGTTTCAAGGTGGACGAAGCCAAGAAACGAATGGAAGAAAAAAGATTAATGCCGATATTTTCATTGCCGCGGCCAATTCGATAGTGCATTTTAATACCGTTTTCTGTGTTTATTTGTATATCTTGACCCCCAAATTTTACACAATTTTTATGTCATCTGGTGCTTTATCACAATTGGGGGGGGGGGGGGGTTGACCATGTCGATAAACCGGGAACTCAGGGTGTGCGGACGTGACTACTTATCCGTAAACTATGGAATCGGGTGGATGTTACCTGTTTATATGTTTAGTATTGGTTTGAAGTATGTATGAAAACGACCATTGACGCGGTCATTTTGAACACGGATGCACAAAATGGCATAAAAGCAGTTTCAAAAATGCTCTATGGATCATTCGACGCCGAATCAGACTTCATGAGCGTGGTAGCTTCCGCCTTAAGTACTCAATCATTGCTGCATTACCATTCGGTCCAGTGCAAAGGTACAACAGATGTGTGAGAGTTGGCCGATTAAAAAGAGGAGATTCATTAATTAAAGATGCAAAATTAACCTTCGGTATACGTTATGGTAGTGTCTATGATAAGAAGAAAATTACGGCCGCTACAGGCCATAACATGACCTCTCTACTCTTGTCAATGTAACCCCGTTCTATTTGGGGGGCTGGTGATTTGGACCTAGCGAAATAGCATATCAGC